ATTTTATTATATAATATAAATATAATATAAAACAAATATTGAATTTTTTAATAAACATATTTCCACAATTTTGTGAAAATATGTTTTTTAAAAAAATTTAATATTTGTTTTATATTATATTTATATTATATAATAAAATCGCGGTACAGACCTGCGGTACAGAATTAAAAAAATACAGAATTGCGACTCCCATGCATTTTGCAAAGCCTACATTTAGGCTCCCACTGAACTCTTGCTTGCCCACCGCTGTTATAAACTGTGGCACCGCGAACTTCTAGTCTGGTCTAGTACACCGATAGCGTTACTTGTTCATAAATGCCGTGTATTAAGTCGTATACCGAGCAAAATTTGTATCGTCCAAACAGGACGTATTCTAAAGCAGACGTATACTGAGGTACCACTGTATCTTATTGTAGCGCCATCTGATGAGCATAACTGAATTTAATTAGTATAGATGACTAACAAAGAACATTTAGTAACGACAGGCGTGTTTAATGGCAGTTTGTCGTCATTTTTATTGCTTTGTAGAAGATTTATTAGTTTATAAACAAGAGAGAAAATGTTATTAGATCGAGTTCAATGGTTTTTGCTCGTCGAACTGACTCGGGGCGAGTCTCAGTGATCTGTCACTACAGCAATTGAACCCGGATAACCCCTATAACAACTTCGTGAACAGCTTCTATTCTGTTTATATTTCAAAATTAAATCGCCTCGAGAAAATGAGAAAAAAAAATCTTTTGAATCTTTGCATCGAATCTTTATAGAATCTATTTTCTAACGTTTCATTGTTTCGAGATAAGAAATCTGCACGTGCATAGAAATTAGTCACTATTTTTTTTATAATAAAAAAAACGGTTTTAAACCTAATTAGTTCCGTCAGGATATAATTTCGAAACAAAAATTAACAAAAAAAAAAAGACGCCATTAAAATAGCAGTTATAGTTTCTACAATAGGGTAAGCTTGTTTACGCAGGAAATCAACTCACTAAAGTGTAAAGATCCCCGTTAAAAATCATGAATTTGAACAATAATAAAACTAATTAATTGTTAAATTAATGTAAAATATATAATTATATACGCAGTGGGAAAATGCTTAAATTATTTATTATGAAGACAAAATGAAGTCAGCCATATTTATTACATAGAACTTTAATGACAAAACGAGAATGATACATAAATTTATGAAAAAATAGATAAGATGCTTATATACATAAAGAAAAAAGGGTGGGAAATATCAAAAATCCCGTAACGAACACGTTAAAATTACGTATTCGGTACTTCAATCCCTTATAGAAATTACATAAATATAATTACAAAAGATATAAAAGTTGGCATTTTTTTTTTTCTGAATGTAAATCGAAACATCCGAAGTAAAATATAATTAAATAATTTTTTACAGTATTTTGTTAATTGTTACCCGAGTAAATACACAAATAATAAATAAATATGATTTTTTTGGCATGAAAAATGTTTTTATCCAATAGAATTTGACGAATCATTTTTATCGACTGATTTGCACCTATGAACGTAGGCTGAAATCGAAGGCTTGTCCATGTCTCGAACACATTCCAAGTTATCGGCACAATGGCAGCTATAGAAGAAAGTAATAAAGATTTAAAAGTTAATTATGTTATTTTATAAACAGTTAAAATATAAATATAAAGCATATAAATTAACAAAATAAAATAAATATTATTTATTTATCATTGTTTAACGCACAGTGCAGTGTAGTAGAGCCCAATGTTCGTTCATTTCGGGCTGACAATGGCAATGGGATCAGTGAAGCGCGAAGAGCGATGCCCCTACCCAATTATTGTAGAGTGAAAAATTACGTGATTAAATTATGATTATTGGATCAAATTCGAATCCGGATAAGCATATATAGACAAGACTGAACAGCTTGTCTACATGCTTTAATGTATTAAAAATCGCATAATATTGGTTTAGTAATATTTAAAATATTAATTAAAAATACTTAAAATTTTCGATTTTTAAAAAAAATAAACTTTAAAAATATATAGATTTAGAGTAGAAATTTTAAATATAATTTAATAATATAATATATAAAATGTTTGTCAAATATTTTAAAACAGATTATTTTTACAAATGAAACAAAAGGGACGTACATACAAGTGCAGAGTTAATGTGTTTCAATGGTTGTTACGCAAATTAACATTGAATGAATGAATGAATGGATGCAATGATTTTTGAATAACAAGCGCACGAAGAGGAAGTAAACTAAGACGACAGTATGGCAGCGTTTTTACTATATTAATATATTATTGTTACATCATGACATGCTTTAACGCTAATCCTTACACAAAGAAATATGCTACGAAGGAGAGAGCGATGCGAGATTACTAAAAATTCGTCGTTCATTTTAAGAGAATTAAAAATAATAATCAAAACTTTCGCACAGTTAATCGAAAACTGAGTTTTTGTTTATTTAAAACTATTTATTTAATTTAAATTTTGAATAAGTGAAGGGGAGAAGCTCGGTGATTTACGAAGATTACTTCGTTGTTCTGTAACAAAATTGGTGTTAAAATACAAATCTCGTGCGAAATTGACGAATGAAACGAAAGTTTACATTTTCTCAAATGTATTTCTGTTCATTTAAAAATAGTAAGAACAATGTTAATTATAAGATTAATCTTATAATTTCCTATTACAGGTTTAATCATATAGTATTGTCCTTAGACAATGAATAGAAACGCAGGATTAAAACTCATCTTATTTTTCTTTTATCATTAAACATGACAGGACTAAACATTTTTGTTGATGAGTTTCAACATTTCCAATGCTGTAACTTTTCTAGAACTAACTTCTTGTCCTTTTAATGCTTTGAAAATAAATCATTCTTTAAGAAAACAATACCTAAAAGATGCTACAATTTTTTCGATGCATTTCCATCCTTCTTTAACGGATTTTTCTCTAAGTTTTTGTTTTTTCACAAAACTTTCACGTCGTAAAATTTACTTTAAAGATCCCACTAAACTGCGTAATTTGCGATTTTTCATTTATTTTTAATCAATCAGTTATATACAAAACATACCATTTTAAAACCATTCTTTTATTTTAAAAAACGAAATTGTGTAGAACAATACTTACGGGCTAGGAAAAAAGTATTCGGGTCGATGGGTGTTTGGATCATAAATTTCCCAGCCGCATGGCGATGTCGATTGACAAATTTGTGACTCTTCTTCTTCGCTCGATGGTGACCTCTATTATAATAAATATATGTACTGTAATTCTTGTTAGAAAATGAAGTGAAAATATTATTTTTAACTAAATATTTTTATAGTTCAAGAATATTTAGAAGAATTTTTTTTTAATTTTACAAGTTATGTAGTAATAAAAACACAGTAATAAAAGACTATTTCAGACGTTAAACTGAAAACGCAAAAATTTAATATTTTTAAGCGACGCAATCTTTCACGTTTTATTCATTTTTCCAGTTTAATGGAGAAAATAACAAGCTCTTTCGTTGTTTCGCATATCTCGTGTAAAATTTCCCGTTTATAACGAATGACTCGCTGATGATCACGTTTTCAGATCACATTTTTGCGCAATGCACTTCAATTTAACATCTCTATACTCGCATATTTATCAAATTATCTAGTAGAAACGAAAAACACCGAACAAGACGTCATCGTGACAAGGTCACGGAGGAGAAAAAGTTTTCTTCCATGCCACTTTTAAATACATAAACTGACCGTGAACTATGTTCTTATGTTTTACACATGACAATTGCAATACGCAAAATACATCGCTCCGGTTTATCGTAACGATAACCCTTTATAAACTCTGCTTATTTGTAAATATTCCTTTGGCCTACGTCCGTTTTTATCGTAAGCGTTCTAACATATTTTTAAACTTGTCGAAAGATAAAGTGTTTCGTTCTTATATAAAGAGATTCTTAACCGGTAGATCGCGAACTACACTCGCGATTACTTTTCCCATTGTAAATAGAGTGGCCCGGTACAAAGGTTGTGGAATAGAAGTTTAGAATGTCAAGCTTAATTCCGTAACATCAATAGGTGATGAGGAGAGGAGAAACTCACCTTGATATAACGAGAGGAGGTCGGGATCACAAAAAGAGCACAAAAAATTAAAAAAAGACTCAACTTTGATCGGAGCATCATCTCGATTAGTCACTAGTTGGCTTAATGAGATACAGGACTCGCGCCTATTTATATAGTCACATAGTGAGACGTCCTCTGATTGGCTAAGAACGATGACAATCGGAGGATGGGACAATCTCGACTCCTCATTGTTCGTCCGTCTGCGCAGTAATATAAATAAACGTTAACACTTTTTAACGCATCCATTTTTTTTTTGTTATTAACATCATCGATAAACAATCAACAAACAGAGAGAGTTTGTTTACTTCAACACTCGCGCGTTTTAGCGCGAAGAGAAAACTTATTAAACGTCAAAATAAAGTGTGTTCGTCGTTCCAAACACGCGACAAATCAATTATTTTCATTTCAAACTGAAATATTTCGAGCTTTATAAAGCATAAAATCATTTTTGTTTAGATAATTGAAAGAATTAATTGCCCTCAATTGGCGTTTCTGCCCCCACTCTGGTAAGCTTACATGACACGTTACGCCAACGACGACAGCTTAACTTTGAATTCTTTTATGTAATCAAATAAAAAAAATTTGAGTGTTATGGGTTCTTAACCGAGTTTTTCGCCCCCTCGTCAACCTTTTCCATGTACGTGTCACTCGTCATTCCCTGTTATCAGATGGTTTAAGATTATTGCAGAACACAAAGCACTTTTGTATTCCGTTCGAGTTATCGACTTGACCCCGAATGTGGTTACTTGACAAATTTTTGTTTAAATTATTTCATCTCATAAATATTTATTTTTTCATATGACCCTTCGTTGATTTTTTATGAACTTATTTTTTTTTAACATCCTCCAAAAATCCCCTACTTTTATAAAGTTAAAGCTTTAGTTAAATTCTGTTGAGATTAAAATTTTAAAAACTGTACAGAGTGAAGGGGAGAAGCTCGGTGATTTACGAAGATTACTTCGTTGTTCTGTAACAAAATTGGTGTTATGTAAATACAAATCTCGTGCGAAATTGACGAATGAAACGAAAGTTTACATTTTCTCAAATGTATTTCTGTTCATTTAAAAATAGTAAGAACAATGTTAATTATAAGATTAATCTTATAATTTCCTATTACAGGTTTAATCATATAGNTTTTACATATATATTATTTTACTTATCGAGGATTCTCAGAAAAATGCTAAATCTTTCGAATCAAAATTATAAATTTTAAGTAAATAATACTGTAATATTCTCGCATTATCTCATTTCTTGCTTTTTAAATTAAAGTTTTTACATCCAACATTATGTATAAATTTAATCTGTGAGAATTATAATTAACAATTAATCACTAATTTTCAAAACCACTTGAAGTTCGAAACAACTAACAACCGTATGAAATGAGCCTGTTAATTTTTAACGATAGATTTCAGATTAGTAATACTTTACATTAATTAGACTAATATATATATATATATTACTAAAAAGAAAACCATTTTTAAATTGACCAATAAACGATATTTTAGAAGAGAAAAAAACAAATTTATAACGATTATCAACTGCAATTGGTTATTTAAACAAGTTGCGTCATTCATATATTTATTCGATTTATGACGTATGCTAAACGTTCTTCTCCACTGGAAAAAAATGTTTACACAATAATATAATGCGAAATAAATGTTTTAAATACGAAAATATCAATTTTTTTTTGTCGTTTAATTGAATCTATATAATATTTATCGTGTTACAAGATACGCATTTATTATTGTAAACATCCGCTTTCAAGAGAAATCCGCTTAAAGACCACACCTTTCAATTCGACCAATTACAGCTTAGTTTACGGTTTTTTGAAGGCTAAATCGGTCGCGATAATTGTATTTCCGAGTAAAGAACTTCGCTTTACTGACCTCGTGATCGCCAGTCACCTGACCTTTTCTCTTTCTGACGTCACTAACATGTAAAAACTCTCAGAAAAACTATTCTCAATTTACGATATCATTCACCGATTTAACTCGCAATTTGTTTTCAAATTTCTACACCTACACGCACTTTTTGTTTATAAATATAACTTATGAAAATATTGAAACTTTAAAAATAACTTTAATACTTAAAAATAATTGAAAATTTGTGAAAAATTTCATTGAATTTCTTCTAATTCGAAATATATTTAACGTGTTTTGGGAAGTAATATATATATTAAAATATAATGTTTTTATTTTAATTTAAGAAAAAAAATTATGTTGTAATTCAGGTAATATTTGCGATATATATTTTTTTATTTTCGATAAAATGAATACTTAAATAATTAGTAAGCTTATATAACTTTTATCGCATTATAGTGATGATACCTTCCGATTAAATTTATTTTTAAACTAATCGGTTCCATTTATTAACACTATATATTATAACAATTGTAGTAAAAGACAAATTAAATATATACAATTGCTTAATTTTATCGCTCGGAGGATGCAGATATCTACGAAAGGAAATGTTTTGACGTCACGGATTGACTGACCATCGATAGTTGAACTTTTGTCCATCTGTATAGTACAATGGTTTTAATTTTAAATATGTCAGAAAACAAATAAAACGTGTTATTTGATTAGATAAAAAGATTGAATTTTACTGATTTTTCGTCTTTATTGTCTAATGATTTTTATTAAATGGATTACTTGAAGAAGACAAGATTAGGTTAAGTGGCCTAGAAATGAGGTTAAATATAGGAAGTAGATATAAAGAAATAAATAAAAAAACGGAAATAGAAAGTTTATAAATTCTATTTAAAATAGGGAATTTCAATTGTATACAATTAAACAACAAACATTTTTATTTTAATTGATAACGTATTAAATTAAACTCGAATCATTCAAAATTTAAATTTCGAATTTTGTTTTATCAATTAAATGAGAATATATATATATGTTTTTGAGTTGCTTGAGTAATTTATTTTTATTTTTAATTAAAGCATTTAAAAATTTTCTAATCAGAAAAACGTAAGGAATAACATTTTTATCTCTTTTTCAAGATACTTTTAATTAGCCCGATCAAAAATTTTGCTTCAGCTGTGTTTATAGAGTGATGTTAATTAAAAAAAAACAGCTTACATGAGCAATATTTCTTCAATTCTCCAATTATAAGTTTCTAAAATACAAAAATAGGTCTTAATTTTCAATCAAAATAAGTATTTTTAGATATATTTTATAAGTTTATAATTAATGCTTAAAACCATGTTTATTTACAGTTAAAAATAAACACGAAATTAAGGATTAATTATATATAAATAATATTAAAATTGGTCGAAAAATAGATAAAATATTAAGACATATAAATCTTAATATTATCAACGAAATGTTTCTAATATCTACTATGAGATAATAAATTGTCTTATCGCTATTCCATAATAAGTCGAGTCATTATTATTACTATTATCATCAATGACTGTTTATAATAAGAAATCTATTTCTTTTTGTTTACAGAAGAAAATATCGAGTTAAATCGAATATATAAACTTCATTATTAAAATGCCAACATTAATTAATATGCTATTTGTGATTAATTTTTTTTTAAATTGTAAATTAATTTAAATTAAATATATAATAATTTTTTGTATGAATATTAAATTTAAAGACTTTATTTGAAAAGTACAGTAATAGTTATTAGTTAATTGAATAAAAAAAATTGGTATGTATAATTTAATACTGTGTTAATATTTATTTATATATTTTTTTTTTGTTCAGTTTATATAAATTTTTACACTAAATATTAAAAATGTTCGTGTTAAAATATAACCACTTTAGATGTTCAACCCCTACTCGATCACGTCGAAGATAACGATAAATTGAAAGTATTTAAGTAATGTTTGCACTTCGTTCACTCAAAAAGATAAAATTCTCTGCTTCAAATTATACAATAACAGTAAATTTTTACTGTTTTTAAGGATAAATTTCAGTTCAGCATTTAAACAAGTGAAATATAAACTTTCGCAAAAAGAAATTCAATATATTTTGAAAAATTAAGCCATAATAAATTAAATTTAACACGCTTATAATCATGATTTAATATTGTTTAAAATTGAATAAATCAGTAAACAGAATATATTAAATTATATAGTTTTATTTCGCAATCTATTATTAATTGATGATATGTGATAATCTTCAGGAATGCAGTTCGTGGAATCTTGAAGATCGCGATCTACTGATTGAAAATAATAATACGCCTACGCTTAGACAAAATAGTTAAATAATCTTAGAAAAATGTTAAATAACAAAAGAAATACGTGACTTTAGTTTATGTTTAATCACGTACCAAAATTCCAAAATATTTTCGCTTAAACAATATCAATAAGATACTTTTAATTGACAAGAAACGTGAAATTTTCTTCGACGATTAAAAATAAAAAAAACAATAAAATAAACCAAATAAAAAGCTTCAGATTATTGTTACAACTTCTTTTTTTTAATAAATTATAGAAAACTTGTTCGAAATATTCAAGATTTTATATTAAAAAGAGTTAAGTAGGCTATATTTTTGTAGTAAGACTATATATTTTCGAGAAAATCATTACTGTATGTTTAAAAAATAATTTAAGTAAAAATCTGTCAAAATTATTAATTAAACTAAGTAACATTAAGACCATACGGGCGATATTTCAGTACAGCCCGTATGGATTCATAATTTCTCTCATTAAAATATTTAGTATTTTAAATTAAATATTATTTATTTATTTAGTAAATAGAAATCGTATAGAATATCATCCGATAATTATAATTTACATTTATCATTTTTAATATTAAATTTAATATTATAATTTTACATTTTTCATTTTAGTTCAATTTATATATCATTTTACATATATATTATTTTACTTATCGAGGATTCTCAGAAAAATGCTAAATCTTTCGAATCAAAATTATAAATTTTAAGTAAATAATACTGTAATATTCTCGCATTATCTCATTTCTTGCTTTTTAAATTAAAGTTTTTACATCCAACATTATGTATAAATTTAATCTGTGAGAATTATAATTAACAATTAATCACTAATTTTCAAAACCACTTGAAGTTCGAAACAACTAACAACCGTATGAAATGAGCCTGTTAATTTTAACGATAGATTTCAGATTAGTAATACTTTACATTAATTAGACTAATATATATATATATATTTTTTAATCTTTGATTTGAATATATCAGTTATTTTAAAAGCAAAATGTTAATATTGTTATATATTTAACTAAAAATTTGTAGCGAATTAGAGTCGAATTGGATAAACCAACCACTTGATTTAACTCTGATAACTTAAGACCAAGAAATGACACTACTATAAAACATTAAAATAAGTTAATTATTACTTTACAAGCTTCTATGAAAATTTTTTAAAGTGAAAGAAAACTAAAACAATTATTCTAATCATATTGATACATATGAATACTTCACATAAATGTAAATAAACTTTTATTTCAATTTTATGGCCTCTTTAAGCATTAAAAAAAAAAAAACTGTTCTCATTCTGCCATCTGTTGCTCGATATCGATACTGTTTTTAGTTTAAAATCTATGGAATATAAAATAAATATAAATTTATCCATTATCAGTTGTGCAAGTTCATAACGATTAATTTTAAACTAAAAAAATTAAAGTTAAATAAAATTATCGATATTTAAAGAAAGTAAGTGCAAGATTCTTATGCTATTTATATCCAATTATTATTCAAAATAGAATATTACTTTCCTNATTTATTACTTTTAAATATATTAGTGTTATCTCAATTAAATATTCTAAAGTAAATTGAAAATACCTAAATTAATAATGGACAATATAAGAATTATAAACTCATTAATAAAATTATTTCATGTTTCACATATTAATTACTAGCCTAAGCATCTGGTATTGTCTGGAAAACTGTAATAAAGATGTTGCCATTGCATAAAAGTTTTTATATCTAAATAATAGCACATGCAGATTATATAGGAAACTTGTTGAACAGTTACAATCTACATGTGAATGGTGCTCTATAAAGTTTCAAAAAATATATACAGTATAAGTATAATGTTCCAAATCATTAACCAAACTAACACTTGAAAATGATAGATTATTTTTCAGGCTATACTATCCAATTATCAATATGGATCATAAATCAATCTTTTCCCAAAATTTTTAGAATTTATTCCTAATTATTAAATTTTATGTAATAATGCAACTTTAATCATCTATTTTTATAGGCCAATTCGGATATTAATTAAAAATGAATTTAAACAGTCTGAAAAATATGACAATTTAAGCTTACTTTGGTTCAAGCTAACTAAATAAACAATATATTAATTGGAATAGAAGCAAAACCGAAAGGCAAGATGAATTAATCCATGTTTTATTTATGGAATAATATAAAAATAGTTTTCTGTTTTTGCTTAATTTTGATATAAAAATTGAATTACTAAGCAGTAAAATTATGTTTTATTTGATAAAAATAGAAAATGTGTTTATTGGTTGTGAACTCATGCCCATAACAATAAGCTACCCAAGATTCAATCAACTGTACCATCCAGGAACTGTATAAATAGTCAAAAATATTTATCAAATTATCACTAATTAATTAATTTTTAGACTAAGTGCACCTCATAATAGTAAAAAATAAAGGAAAATATCATTGTACTAATATTCTCGATAAGGGAATAACGCGTTTATTCGAATTGAATTGTATTTAATACGTCAAATGAAGTTTACCAAGAAGTAATTTTCCGAATTTGTGTCAAAAACAAAATTAAAAACAAAAATTAAAGACCTTTAAAGTCTATTTTGTTAGAACGTTTAATGCGATTAATCATCCTCGCAGTCTATAATTATATTCTATCGTTTTGCATTCAAATGATATAAAAGTAGGTTAATGTATAAACATGATCTACTTTAACAATAAGTTTTTCTTTTTTGTTTTAATTTAAAAATCTTTCAATTGATAAGAGTTAAATAAAAGTTTATTTTATTTTTTTATCAATTTATAGTAACGAAAATTGCTTCTAAATGCAATTTAAACTTACTAATTAGATTAATAATAAGTTTAAAATCTTTTTAATATATTATTTATACCATTATGAAGCAATACCAATTCATTATATATGATTAAGAGATAATTAAACGTGTTCGTTATTAAATAAACACTAATTTTTCTAGACTTTATTAACATTAGCATTATTAGCTCAAACGCTAATGTTAATGTTGATAAATTCTAGAAAAAAATAGCTAACTTTTTTCTAATTAAAATTCTCTTTCGAAAAATAAAAATAAATTCCAAAACAGATGTGCAAATGACAGTGGGATCTTGATACCAAAATGTCATAATTATATCGCTATTTTCGGAATTATTTTTTTAATTCTGAAATTACCAAAAACTGAACATTATTTATTAACTATTTGAACGGGAATTAAATTATTCTAGATAATGTACTACTCTTTAAATAACAATTTGAGTTGAACGCCTTTAGAATTACGCTTTGCAGGAAATGAATGGCGGATAATCAAAACAGCGCTACTAGAATATTTTCTACGTGCGTATCCGATTTCAAATAATAAAAATATAAAAAAATTATTCGATTCATTTCTTGTTATGGCAACCTTAAGGTCAAATAATGTCGTAATCTAGAGATATGTCATCTACATTTCGTAAACAAACCTTAACACGTGGACATTCGTGCTGTGTGGGAGGATAAATTGCGAAACTTAAATGCTTATCTAAATCAACGGACGAAGAGCTTTTGACCCTGTCATCCAATAAATTGTTTTATAAGCTTTATAATTACTTCTTTCTCGTAAAATTTATAAAACATATTACTGTGCAAACATGGTAACCAATCAGCAGACTATTCTTTTAATTTTAAACAATCAAGATTACAAGCTATTGTATTTTTGGGAAAAGCTAATCCAACTGATGTTTCAAATTTAATCAATACGCTACAAATTTAAGTAATTTCGTAGACTTCAAGTTACCTAGCTAATAAAAAACAAAAAAATCTACGTGACATACATCACATACGAATCACAAGATTTAGATGTTAAGAAATTCATTGAAACTAAATAAATTGAAACATAAAAAAAAATATATTACTTACACATACGTCAAATTTGATAAACAACGATGACGCAAAATTTGGCAATCTTAAACCACTTTTTAATGACGTCAAATTATAAATAAATAAAGAATTTCACTTTTAATTTCTTTACTGCTTCGTTTTTTCTTCACTAATAATTTTAAAAAAAAACGCNATATTAAATTTAATGCAATACAATTATTTGAAAAAAAATAATTACTTTTCCCCTCTCAAACTTAATGTAATACATTACTGTATATTTATGAAATAGTTATTCTACAATAAAGCTAAAATTCAATAAATTCATGATTTATTTCTGAAATTTAATGAATTTGATTTATTAACAAAAACACCTGTCATTGTAAATAACAGTATTATAATATTAATTGATCTATTTACTATAAGAATAATATACCATACAATTAATATAAATTCATCAATAATTTTGAAACAAACATGCAATAATCAATAAAGCCAAACAAACTGCCAAATTATCAGGCTATAATATGGCTACGCAATTAATTAAATACTAAATAATTTGCTCATATACTCAGCCATAGCACTGAATACAATAACTTGCTCCATAGCACTAGCTGGCTGAGTGCTACAGAGAAAGGCCTTGAGTCTTAAGTCATCCCCAGTCAGCATCTTATTGATCAGTATGGTTATATCTAAACTAATAATTCTGGAAGTGAAGTTAGCTTAAGAGTCCAGGTAGTATAATTGGCAATGCAACTGTGAGTTTAGGTTTGAGTCCCACTTTGGGCTGATTCTTTTCTTCCAAAAAATTCTAAATTAAATTTAGTATGAGATAGGAGTTATATTGCTACCTCTTGACAAATTATTTAGTATTTAATTACATAGCCATATTATATCATGATAATTTGGCAATTTGTTTGGCTTTAACTGTAAGTTGTGCTTTTGAGTTGATTTACAATAATTGACAAATTAATTAACTATTGATTATCTAATTTAACAAATATCATTAAGCTAAATAATATAACAAAGCCAATAAATTTAATCTTTCCATAACAGGAATAGATGAAATGGTAAATAGTGACAACAAATTTGGGTGAAATTTGGATGGTTTTTGAAATTTATTTGATCTGAAACAGAAAACTGTTTGACCAAACAGAAAGTAACTATTGAAGGCTTATAATCTTATCAATAAAGTTAAAACAGAACAATCTGAAAAGAATATTTGCTTTCTTAAATCAAACATTTAAGACTGTATGTACTGTACAGTAGAGTCCCGAAAACTCGGCCTAATGCGGACTGAAGGGTGGCCAAGTTTGTGAAAATGCCAGGTTATCGGGAATGGGGTTAAAAAAAAATAAGTATGAGTATTTCCTCAGAAAATACTGTACTGTACTTGTATGTATTGTTTGCTTGAGAATACAACAGAGAATAAACTGCTCAAATACCCTTAAACAAAGGAAAAGTACACACTTTATGAAGGCATAGAGCCTTTACTACATGAAAATGAAAATTAATGAATACACAGTGTACAGTAATTTACCTGATAAGACAGATCTCAGAAAAATACTTTATGAGGTATAAAGCTGTCTTTAATGAAAATTAACTAGGGGTTTTTTCGCCCTGCCATGGTGTAGCCGAGTTATCCGGACTGCTGGGTTATCGAGTGCTGAGTTTTCGGGACTCTACTGTATTACATTTTCATTTACAGTATAGTACACAGAATTACATGTAATGCATTAATAAATAAATTTTGTTTCAGTATAGTGTTAATCAATACACAACATTTTTAAAATATTTTTTTGCTGCATTGTCTACACAGTGGCCTGTGTAGGGTCACCCTGGAATACTATATATACTATAGGTGAGTTGTCTAATAAAGCAGCTTTAATACAGAGGGCTAAGCAAACCAATGACACAGTTTGTTTCAAATATTAATGACTGAAATGAACTGTCATTGGTTTGTTCATCTAGCTATATTAAAGCCACTTTATTAGGCAACTTGCCTTATTTAATACTATTGGACAGTACTATATATAGTAATCTGTATCCATTATATTTTCATTACCCCCTTTGACAACGCCAAAAACATTACCAGTTTTTCTAAATTTTGGAGGTGATCATCTTAAAAATATTTCACTGTGTTTAATAATCGTGCCAACAATTTATTATGAATTTTGCAGAAGTTTATTGTTTACATTAATATAATTACAGTATAATTTTAGTATATATGGTAAGATTATAACCATTATCTTTTGTAAACGTAAACAAAATAAAAATGGTAAAACTTACCATATAACCAGACACTCCAAATGCAATGTAAAGTAATGTGACCACAGAAAGAGTTCCCAGAAGATATCTTAAATAAAATAAAAAAAATGATAAAAAAAATATCATGATAAAGAATTGATGTTAATGTATTATATTTTATTTTTAAAATTTATTTAAATTACTTCTAATCTATTTATAATAAAGTAATATCTATGCAATTCAGAAAATCTTTTGGGTTACATTTAATTTTAATATGATTATGACAATGATGTAAAAGACAAATGTAAAATATTTAAATAATTTGAAGTTAATGGGGTCACAGCTAAAAATTGCATACATATAAAAAAAAATAATATTTAATAACTGGTAGTTTAAGCCAATTTAGAATAAAATAATAAAAGATTACTAACTTAAAAAGTATAACTTATTAATATATTATGATAACAGAACAGTACAATATTAAAAAATGGAACAATAGTCATGAAAAAAGTTTGTTGACATCTAAGTTACACAAACTGCTACTGAACTCCTGCTTATGATATTAAAAAGCAACACCTTTAACTTTCAAACAAAATCAATTTAATTGCTGATGATTTTGACCTACTGTAATGGTCTTCAGATTAACTCAACCAGAACAGATATAGATATAGGTTCTATATCTGTTCTATTTTTTTGTTGTTGTTCTGGTTGAGTTTATCTGAAGACCATTACAGTAGGTCAAAATCATTAGTAATTAAATTGATTTTGCTGGAAAATTCAAAGTGTTGATTTATTTTCTCAAAGACATTCCATTATAGTTGAATATGGTTCACTACCCTGCTCATGATTCATCATTTACATCAGTATTTCTCAACCTCTAATGAATCGTTGCCCCCTTCAATAAATGTTATGTAGTATCACCCCCTTCACTTCAAAATTTTGATGCCAAGGGTCAAGGCTAACACCAAATTCGTACTGCATCGAATAGACTAGTGACTAGTATAATGTTATTTGCTTAATTATTGCATGATATAACGAATAAAATATCTAATTATTCTTAATATAATGTTTACTATATCACCCAGAAAATTGTTTTTTGCCCCCCAAAATATAAATTATTACTAATCGTCCCCTCAACATGGAAAAACGCCCACATGGGGGCGATATCGCCCCCGCTGNAGACTCAATAATAAAAAAGTGGAATTAGATATCCTTGAACCTACTAAGGAACAATTACAATCTGAAGAAAATATCTCATCCGAAAATGAAGACGAAAACGAAACGAACGAAAGTGAAAACGAGCAGAATAATGAACTAGTAAGAGCAAGTAAGAGACCACGAATCACTAGAACAGAGGGGGAGATCCAGAAAGGATGATAGAATGAAAACCATAGAAGAATATGCCACAATTGGTGAAAAGATAATCAAGGACAATGTAGAGCCTTTGACATATATATAAGCCATGGAATTAAATGATTCAGCCAGATGGCGAGCTGCCATGGAGAAAGAAATGGAGTCCCTGAGAAAACAAAGTATGGAACTTAACGGAACTGCCAGAAGGAGACAACAAATGGAAGTGGGTCTACAAAATTAAGGAAAACATCACCTTCAGAACAATACAAATAGAGTTCACGGATACTAACAATAACACTTCTGATCCACTGTAAACGCATAACTTACCGACCTTCCTCCTCACCAACATATCGAAATCTTGGAGCGTTTTGTTCACCGCACCAACCGCTTTACCTAATTTCTAAGCGGAGTGATTCGGAGAAAAAGCCACAGGCTAGAGGCTCCATATTAATAAGACAAGAAAGAAAGAAAGAAACGCATAACTAGCGAATAGATGACTAAGTAGAATCTCTTCGAGAGGAGTGATTGTTATGGAATACTAAACTAAAGCAAGTGTCGATATTTCAAACTGTGTATGAACTGGCAACACCTCCCCCAAAATGAGACGTTCAAGACCAACTGGAACATCTTTCTGTTGCTTCAACAGGGCCGAGAAATCCAAAGCTCGTCTCTTATGAACGGCCTTTCGAGTAGTACACATTTTGACAGATTATGCGTTCAATTAATTTGCTTCATTCATCGATGAAATACTTAAACTTGAATTTAATTTTACAGAGCTAGTATGCAGGTTGTTAGCATGACTGAAGCTGAAAAGAAGCAAATAGAAGCATTGCAGAAAAAATTCAAAGATTATTTGTCAGTCTTTCAGACGAATCCCGGTCGTTAGTTGTGAAAGGGAGGTGATTATATTACCAATTTGTGACGTAAGTCTCGGACTTGGACAATACCTGGATTTGATAAATAACCCGGATGTGAAAGTTTACTTCGTATGCGATTTTAAATCCCGGATTTGACAGAAGAATGATTCGTAAATGGACTTAATTCAAGTCAAATAAGCTCCTCATAATTGTTGTTTAAAGATTGTGTGTCGTGAATTTTATCATTTTTACGATTTAACATTGGCCAACGAACTAATCTTAATAACGTTCAAAATAAATTGTAAAATCATGAATATTTACTCTATTCTCATATTGTATATAACTGTATTTATATACTGTATATGCAATTTTCAACAATTTTGTTTATGAATTCCGATGTAAAGCATTAGCAGAGCGATCGTTTAATGCCCTCAAAAGAATTAAAAATTATATTAGAAATTCGATTGGACAAAAAATTTTGAATTTGGAATTATTCTACATCGAGAATTGCATTTCAAACAGAATTGATTACATTGAACGAGCGACAATTTCTCAGCTCATAAAGCACGAAAAGTGAATACATAAGTTTTGTTTATTCATCTATGTAATTTGTTTTGTAAATTCCTTTAAATTTTTGTTGTAATTGCGATTTTTTAAATTTGTTGTTATGTTAAGAATTGTATTTTTTAAAAACTTTTAGTATGACAAAGAAAAAATATTTTATATGACTGTAGTTTATAAGTACAGTGGAACCTCGGTATACGTCTGCTTTAGAATACGTCCAATTCGGAATACGTCCTGTTTGGACGAAACAAATTTTGCTCGGTATACGACTTTTGTTCGGTATACGACTTAATTNTGTTCACAGCCCGGCACATGTATTTGTAAAATCTAAGTGACTCGTACAACATGGAATTCATATAAAACGGAATTATCAACAGTGTTATAGGGGAGTTGACTTGTACTTCATAATAAAAAAATAAAAATATAAGGTGTTTTCATTTCCTAGGAAATTTTTTGGTAGTGTATTGCCATCTATTGTGTAGAAATGTAAGTTTTCTTTGATGAAAAATACTAGAAATAATTACGTAAAATTTACAAATTATTTGTAAAAATAAGCATTTTATATTATAATTTTTTGGTAGTGTATTGCCATCTATTGTGTAGAAATGTAAGTTTTCTTTGATGAAAAATACTAGAAATAATTACGTATAATTTACAAATTATTTGTAAAATCATAAATCTAAATATATAAAATTACTTGTCCTGACTGACTGACTCATCATCGCCCAGAGCAAACCGCTGAACCTAAAGAGGTGAAATTTGGTACACAGTCATCCCTTCAAAAAATCCCTTCTTAGTGCGCGTTTTCATGATGTACACAGGGTACGTCATGAAAACGCGCACTAAGAAGGGATTTTTTGAAATTGCCCCGCGGGGGGAGAGGATTAAGGCTTAACCGGAAGAACAGCTTCTACTGTACTATTTTAGATGCGATATTTTGTTTTTATCTGCGTTTTATTAGGGTGTGCCATGGGAATGCACACTAAGAAGGGATTTTTCGAAATTCTCCCGCGGGGGAGAGGGAGAGGATTAAGATTTAACTGGAAAAACGGCTTCTACTATACTATTTTAGATGCGATTTTTTTGTTTTTAATTACGTTTAGTCTTCATTGAGTACTTAGGGGTATTAAATTGATAACATTTCAGACATTGTTATTAATATTTTGATATATTTTGATTTTTTAATCAAATGTTCAAATCGGTTTAAATTCGAATTTGTTATTGCATATTGGTTCGATTATAGAATGATTGTAAACGTTCCAGAAAATAGGGTACGCCATGGGAATGCACATTAAGAAGGGATTTTTCAAAATTCTCCCATGGGGGAGAGGGAGAGCATTAAAGCTTATCCAGAAGATGTCTTTTACTGTACTATTTTAGATGTGATTTTTTGTTTTCAACTACGTTTAGTCTTCATTGAGTACTTAGGTGTATTAAATTGATAACATTTCAGACATTGTTATAAATATTTTTATCTATTTTGATTTTAAAAATGTTTGAACCGTTTTAAATTCGAATTTATTATTGCATATTGGTTCGATTATAGAACGATTGTAAATGTTCCAGAAAATTGATCAAATTGAAAAGAGTTCGTTTGATTCTCGGCAATTCTCATCATTCTCAGCGGTAGATGTTATATAATAATTACTATGGTTGTTGAAATACTGAATATAAATAGGGTTTGCTTGCAAAATCCTCGCGGGCAAAGCTGCGGGTAACAGCTAGTGCTTTCATATACAAAGATACCGTCCACCAAATGAAATAAAAGATTTTACTGAATTTCAAATTTATATTAAATATATAACACATGTATACTATAATGCTTAGTGAATACAGTAGACTTCATTTTTATGACCTAATTGGTTTATAGAAAGCTGTTGTTCAGTGAGTTATTTTATTTTTCATAAGTTCAGTATTGTAAATTGAGACTACATTCCTGAAATATAGTCTTAACTATATATCACAAAAGAAATGGACAATAAAAAAATATGGCATTTAAATACAGCATTTTATTCTGCTTTAGTTTTTCATAACAATTTAAGCAGTGGTTCAGTAAGTAAAATCAACTACAGTAGAACTCTGATTAACCAAATGTTCAATTATCTAAACCAGTGTTTTTCAACCTTCTTGAATACACGACCCCTTTACAAGTTAAAAAATTCTGGCGACCCCCTAGGGCCATATTAAAACTATATCAGTGATTTTAAAAACTATGTATTTAATTTTCTTTCTGTTGAGACAAATTATTGTTGATTAAAATGAAAATTTCAGAAGAATCGACAATACCTTAACACACACAAAGTATGAAACTTCCTTTAATTATAACATTGGGCAC